TTATTAATAAAAGATATTTTAGATAATTAAAGCAAAGTATTTGTAATGATCTGTAATGCATTTACATTATGGATCATTACAAATACTTTGCTTTAAAACTGCCAAGTCCTCAGACAGTGAGAAGATAGAAATCCTGTATAGAGAAAAAAGATGCATCGATAATCGTTTTATAATCGCATCGCAGCCTCTGAATCGTAATCGAATCGAATCGTGAGGTGCCTAAAGATTCCCACCCCTAATGGTTAATGTGAAGTACAGTGCAGATCACAGAGGTCAGTACGTTTAGTTACATCTGTAACCTTCATTACACACAACTGAGCACACATAATAACTAATGTAAACTAGAAACGTGTTACTAGAAACAGAGTAGTTGCGCAGCTTAAATGGTTCCCGCTTTCTTTTAGGTTGTTGCTAAGTTGGTGGTTGCTATGGTTGTCCACTGCCACCTTAAATTTCCTGCTACCTTAAATCCACTTCTACCTTAAATTTCCTACTACCTTAAATCCAGTGCCACCTTAAATACACTGCTACCTAAAATCTCCTGCTACCTTGAAAGTGTGTGTGTTTGGTGTGTTATGTGTGGTGTGTGTGTGGAGTAGCATTACTGCGACCGAGTGCTAATTTGTTAGCATTAGTGCGACTGAGTGCTGATTGGTTAGCATTACTGCGACTAAGTGCTGATTGCTTAGCGGTGCTGCTGCTGAGTGCTGGTTGGTTAGCATTGCTGCTACTGAGTGCTGGTTGGTTGGCGAGCGGAGCAGCTCATTGGCTGTTTGTGCTCACTGACATCATGAACGTACATGAGGCGCCGTTTTAAACTCCTATAACTCGAATTTAAAAGCTCTTAAAAATATAACAGCAGAGTTCAAATGTTTTACGCTGTTCTGTGTTCAGGAAATGCATGTATTATTTAATATTAAAAATGTTTAAGAATTTATAAACTATGATTTTGCTCAAATGCTCCATCTTAGCACTTTAATTTTGGACTTGCTCGGGAGCGCCCTCTAGCGTTTGAGAAACCCATAAGAATAAGGTTGCTATCCTTGTTAGCTGCCTTAGCCTCGTTGCTTCATCGGTTAAACTAAGAAGCGAACTTCAGACACCAACCAGATTTTTATCTAAGTGAAATATGAAATATCCGGTGTATGAGGTGTGTGTGGCAGTGTGCGGTGTGTGTAGCAGTGTGAGGTGTGTGTAGCTGTGTGCGGTGTGTAGCAGTGTGAGGTGTGTGTAGCTGTGTGCGGTGTGTGTAGCAGTGTGCGGTGTGTGTAGCAGTGTGAGGTGTGTGCGGTGTGTGTAGCAGTGTGAGGTGTGTGTAGCTGTGTGCGGTGTGTGTAGCAGTGTGAGGTGTGTGTAGCTGTGTGCGGTGTGTGTAGATGTGTGAGGTGGGTGTAGATGTGTGAGGTGTGTGTAGCTGTGTGAGGTGTGTGTAGCTGTGTGTAGCTGTGTGAGGTGTGTGTAGCTGTGTGAGGTGTGTGTAGCTGTGTGAGCTGTGTGAGGTGTGTGTAGCTGTGTGTAGCTGTGTGAGGTGTGTGTAGGTGTGTGTAGCTGTGTGTAGCTGTGTGAGGTGTGTGTAGCTGTGTGTAGCTGTGTGCGGTGTGTGTAGCTGTGTGAGGTGTGTGTAGCTGTGTGAGGTGTGTGTAGGTGTGTGTAGCTGTGTGAGGTGTGTGTAGCTGTGTGAGCTGTGTGAGGTGTGTGTAGGTGTGTGTAGCTGTGTGAGGTGTGTGTAGCTGTGTGAGGTGTGTGTAGGTGTGTGTAGCTGTGTGTAGCTGTGTGAGGTGTGTGTAGCTGTGTGAGCTGTGTGAGGTGTGTGTAGCTGTGTGAGGTGTGTGTAGCTGTGTGTAGCTGTGTGAGGTGTGTGTAGCTGTGTGAGGTGTGTGTAGCTTTGTGAGGTGTGTGTAGCTGTGTGTAGCAGTGTGCGGTGTGTGTAGCAGTGTGAGGTGTGTGTAGCTGTGTGCGGTGTGTGTAGCAGTGTGCGGTGTGTGTAGCAGTGTGAGGTGTGTGTAGCTGTGTGCGGTGTGTGTAGCTGTGTGCGGTGTGTGTAGCAGTGTGCGGTGGGTGTAGCAGTGTGAGGTGTGTGTAGCTGTGTGCGGTGTGTGTAGCTGTGTGCGGTGTGTGTTATGCCCGTTTCTCTCTCAGGTCCAGGATAAGCAGATAACGGCGAGCGGCTGATTAGCAGGGAGCCGCAGGGAGCAGAGAGGAGCCGCAGATGTGTCTGCAGAATAAAGCCTCTCAATTACACAGACGCCAAATTGAAACCGATGCTGATTTAACTCTTCCCAATAAACCTGACAGCAGCTCCGCCAGCCAATCCCTCTCTCTCTCCTCCCTCTCCTCCCTCTCTCTTTCTCATCCTACTCTTTTTCCTGCCTGTCTTTCTTTATCTCCCTCTCCACATTCTCTCTCCTCCCTATTTCTCTTCTCCTTCTTACTCTTACCCTTGTCTCTATCGCCTCTCTTTCTTTTTCCTCTCTCTAATTCTCTTTTCTCTCTATTTCCCTCTCCTCTCTGTTTCTCTCTTTCTCTCTCTCTCTCTCTGTACCTTTATCTCTCTTTATCTCTTTCTGGCAGGTCATTGATTCTCAGTAACTGTCTCTAATGACCGCACGCTGCCTCTCTCCATCGCCAGCCGAGTCCAGAGACACATGGCTCACCAGACGGTGCCAGTTAGAGAATCAGGAGGATAGAGAGAGAGAGAGAGAGAGAGAGAGAGAGAGAGGAAAAAGAAAGAGATAAAAGAGAGAGAATGGGAGAAAAAGAAGGAAAAAGGAGAAAGAGAAGAGATAAATGAGAAGGGGAGAGAGTGAGGGAAAGAGAAAGATACAGGGGAGAGAGGAGAAAGAAAGGAGATGGGGAGAAAGAGAGATAAAAGAGAAAAAAGAGAAGGGGAGAGAGTGGGGGAATGAGAGGAGAAAAAGAGAGAAAGAGAGGGAGAAGGAGAGAGGGTGGGGGAATCAGATACAGAGAAGGGAGCGGAGAAAGAGAAGACGGGGAGAAAGAGAGAAGAGATAAATGAGAAGGGGAGAGTGGGGGAAAGAGAAAAGATAGAGAGGAGAAAGAAAGAAGAGAGGGTTGAGACGGTGAAAAATGGTGACAGAAAGAGTAGAAAAGAAAGAGACTGAAAAAGAGAAGTAGAGAGAGAAAAGATAAAGAGATGGAGAGATAAAGAGAGGAACAGGAAATAAGGAGGGGTAAAAAAAGAGGGGATAGAGAAAGCAGAGAAAGAGGAAAAAAGCGATAAAAAAGAGTGAAAGAGAGAGAGAGAGAGAGAGAGTGGGGCGAGAGAGATCAGGTCAATATGGGAGCAGATAGGGTAACCTCTGGTCATGCTGTGAGAGGCCTTCAGGGGTCATTAGCCAAACAGGCGAGTGGAAATGCGGGAGAGCCTCTTTCATCCATTCATTTATCTCTACACTCATCCTTTCCTCTCTCGCTCGCTCTCTCTCTCTCTCCCCATCCATCGTCCGCTTCCTGTAATGAATCCAGACCGCGGGTCAATACGACGCTAGCGCCCAGGTCAATACCGCTTACCTGCAACACAAACACTCAAAAGCTGCTCTCGCGCGAGATCGATGGCCTATTAGTGACCCCTCCACCACCCTGTCCGCTCGCCGGTCTCAGCCGCTCTTTAAGGTGATGGGTCGGCCTTAAAAAGACAACAGCGCCAATCTTTAGCATGTGAGGCCTCACTCTGTCCTATAGAGGTGTAATGAGGAGCAATGTGGCCTGGATTTAAAAGACTTCCTAACCATCCGTCTGTCTTAACTTCAAGGGGAACCCCATGGATTTTTCAGAATTTCTACATAATTAAATAGTTAAGATGTAAACAGAGCGGTTCAGAGCAGTTCAGAGTGGTTTGGTGTGAAACGCTTTGTTCTAGATAAACTTACCGAGTCAGAACTGTTCACAGTGGTGCTGATAGGAACCAGACGTCCACCTCTAAAAGCTCCCTCACAGAAAGTTCCTACATGAAATGGTTATGAATTCACTGCCTGATGACTGAGACACTGTTTTATGATAGTTTTGAGAAGATTTTGGCCTCGAAATCCATTCATGGTGGAGGGATACATAATATGCAGGGCGTTGTGAGGCAAAATAGTCCCCAAAGAAAACTTATTATTTCAGATTTTCCACTATTTTCCATCATCAACATTCCATATAAACTCAAAAGACTCGTGTTGGTTCACTGGTGGTTCTGGATAGTAAATAAAATGTCTATTTGTGTTGTAGTCATGGCGACGCCTAGTTCCTATCACCACCACTGTAAAGACATCTGAGCCGGTAAGATTCTCTACAAATGAAGCATTTCAAGCATTTCAATCAAAACACTCTGAATGACTCTGTTTACATCTCAACCACCTAATTATGCTGACATGTTGACAAATCGGTGGAATTCCCCTTTAATATTATACTGGCCTGACCAGGAGGGGAGTAGTTAGTAGCAACAAGGTACAGGGGGTCGTGGAGGGTCTGGGACCCCCTAATTAACCTCATGGACCCCCTGAATGTCTCAAAATCAAAATGCAAAATAGAGGGTCCCTGAAAATAAGCTTATTTTGACACTATGCAGCTCGTCTGGGGAAAACAGACGCTGAAATGCAGAATCAGTGAAGCTCATTGTTCAGCTGCTTCACCCACAATCAGCGTCTGTCTTTGGTGTTCTTAGCTAATGCTGGCCGCACACTAGAACAGGGGTTCTCAACCTTTCCCATCCCCAGGCCCACCTGTTTACAACTACTAAGCATACCAGCCCACAGAAAACTAATATTAACGTCTTAAATTATTCTGTGAAGACCTGAATGAGGGCCTGAAAAAGATCAGATTGTCCATTTTAACTCAATCACAAGTCCCACAAAGAAGTGTCCCATTACTCTTGTCTATATACCGTATGTCTTAAAGGCACAGCAACAATAAGAACCTGCTTAATCGTAAGCCTTTTTAATCCATACGGCCTCAGATTCGCACTGAAATATCACAGAACAAAAAGAGCGAGACAGATGTGCAGATATAAGGTCCGACCTTTATTCCGTACATTTTTAAACCATGAATGTTCATTTTCATTTTTTTTTTCACGCCTAAAACTCTACTTGTTTTTGTATACAAGAGTCTAAGAAAAACAACTGCACAACACCACAAGGTCGACAGAGACAGTCTATCACCGCCCAGTCGTACGTCCACTCGGGCACAGTTCGCTCCTGACCGGGAAGTTTGTTTCCGTGTTTGTTTCGTTGGCTCTTCGTTGGAGAATATCCAGGTTCTGCCATACAGGATGCATTTCGCTATGTCGTCTAGGTAACCGTCCAATCAGAACCTTCCATTTCCGCTTTGCATAGATGGCAGATGATGGCCACACCCTTCTTTAAAGAAAACAAAAAAAAACAAAAAAACGTGCCCTCTGATTGGACAGATCGGTTACCATGGTTTTCAATTCAACCACGGAAGTGGTTCCGTTTTGCTCCGCCGTTTTTCTAGAAACATTTAAAAAGTCTAAATAAATTTACAATGTAATTTTTGATCCAAGTAATATCAACAAGATATTTACAGTAACTTTACATAAAACCGAACAGGAATATCGTAATACATATCCGTCTGCATATCTCAAAGGCAAAAACAAGCGAACAGAGAAAATTCGGTAATGTAACATTGTACACGGTCAGCACTATTTCCAGGTACCGTAGAGCAAAAATCGACTGTCAAAACAGTAACATCGATCCAGTTTGTTCAGTGAACATCAATAATGTGTCCAACAGAGAAACTGGGATAAATACGGTGGGTTTGACGTGACTTTTAACGTAAAATTCATAAAAATAATGTCTGTACATGGAAAGGCAATAGGAAAAGTACAAACTCATTTGAGAATCTCACTTTTCACACAAAAAATGAAAAGGCATTGGATTAATATATTAATATCAAATTTCTTACGTGGGTGGCGAGCATTTCGTGTTTCGTAGATGACGTTAATGTCCTTGCTTGCCATCCACGTTGATATAAAATAAAAAGCGATGTGCTTTTTTTTTGTTTGTCCGAAGGTACAAAGTATTTTTTGTACAAATTATACATTTCTGTTTATCGTTAACTTTATTTTTATCGGAAAATAAGTGCATGTTGTCCGTTTGTATACGTGTCCAACTGAGAATGAAGTTTTTTTCCGGCAAAAATTGCGTTACCGCGCCTCCACTTCTTTGGGGTTGCGCGACGGCGAATATTCCCTAGGGTCCTGCGTGGTGATTGGCGTAGTCCGTCTTGGCGAGGTGGGTCTAGGGATGCTCGGGCCTGCTGGCACTAAGGGCGGGGGGGCGCTTAGCGCCGCGGTTGGTGGCGTCCGGTTTAGCAGTCCACTTTGCGCGGCGGATGGGCTTAGCCGTGGGTACGGCATCCCTCCGAGGTGGGACATAAAAGGGGGCATGTGGGGCAAATGCCCTTCTATTGGAGACTGGTGAAGCTGGTGAAGCCTGGCACGGTCCAGTTCTTCCCTCAAATGAAGCCGCTCTCTTTCTTCAGCCTGCTGCCTCAGCCGTTCCTGTTCACGCCGTACTTCCAGAAGATGCTCCTGGTGGGAATAATCGTGTGGTTCCCGGTCTCTGTATCCTGTACGGTCCGGATCATAAATGCCGGGGAGACGGTGCCCGGGCTCAGAACGAAGCTGAAAGTCCATCCGCCTTTGGAGGTCTAGGTTCCTGTAAGCTTCTCTAAGAGGGTCCCAAGAGGAGAACGGGTGAGGGAGGCGTTCCCGGCCGGCCGCGAGCGGGTTCACGCCCATGAACGGCGCCATCCGGGCACGTTCCAGGACATTTAAGCTGCCCATCTGGTGCATGGCACTCATGGGGAATGGCAAAGAGTGTGGCATGGGCACTCCATGCAAAGAAGCCGGGGTTGGAAGATCACTGCCACGCGGAGATGGAGGCGGAGCCTGCTGGGATATTGATATTGCTGGTTGGTGCGAAGTGGGCGGAGCCGTTTGAGGATGAACATGAGGATGTGGAAGGGGATGAGGAGGGGGCGGAGCCTGAGGTTGATTGCCAGGCTCAGAACTGACCACCATCACGTCCTGCTCCTCTTTGCGCTCCTCTTTGATCTTCATGTCGTTCTTCACCTTGTGGATCGTCTCCCCCGACGACGTTTCCTTCCTCTCCCGGTCGGTGTCTTTGATGGGAAGTGGCAGCGCCATGCTGCCCATCTTGATGCCCGTCTCGTTCAGGATGTTCTTGGAGTACGGCGACGGGGAGCGCCGGATCGGTTTGCAGGAATCCGCAGAGGAGGCACTGCGCTCGTTCGCGTCTTTGCCCGGAGAGCGGCTCTCCTTCACCTTCACGTCGGCCATCATCGCTGCCGCCGCCTCTCGCTGACGGTCCAGCAGATCCTTCTCCGGGTCGCGGGGGGCGGAGTTGTGGCTGCTAGAGCGAATCAGGCTGCTGATCTGGTAGCTGACGGGAGCGGAGGCGGGAGAGGAGCGGTTACTGTGGCGATTACGGTCCACCGAATCCCTGCAAGAGAAGGAGAGAGATAGAATATGTAAAGTAAGTATGAAAACATTTATTAAAACCTCATTTTTATTATTTTCTTTAGCATCTGAAGCCATTTTCACAGGATCAATAGAAATTATATACAATTTACTTTTTTCCATCTCTTACAAAGTTCTCTGGAGTGATTAATCACATTATCTGGTGGTCTGATTGGCAAATCTGCATTTGCCAGGAGAACGCTCCCTACCGGAACGCACAGTGCCAACAGTAAAGTTTGGTGGAGGAGGGATGATGGGCTGGGGCTGTTTTTCAGGGTTTGGGCCCCTCAGTTCCAGTGAAGGCTGAGGTTAATGCTACAGCTCAAAGAAGCTGTGTCCCAATTTGGGGGGCTGCGTCCTTCAGAGGCTGCGTTTGAAGGCCGACTGCATCACAGCGGCGCGACTAGACTGTCCCATTCCGAAGGCTCCTTCATACGCGGCCGAGAAATGTGCCCTTCTTTTCCATGGCAACAAAGGACCCAACGGTGGATCCTCTGCCAGCCAGCATATCCCGAGGTTCACTGTGTGCCGGCGAAGATACGAGAACATGGCGGCATCAGCAGAGGAGTGAACGGCGGCTGAGGAGACACTTTAAATGTAAGTACTGGGTTTAAACTGAGTCGAATAGCGAAAAAACAGATGATAAAAAAGCCAACTGGGTCTGAACAAAAACTTACGCTAACGTTTCGTTTTGTTTTAGGGAGCAAAGAGCTGTCAGAGAGACGCATCTCCAACTCTAATAAATGAAAAAATAAAAAAACATAAAATCAAAGTTTTTGGCTCCGTCTGTAAGAACTTTAAAAGGACTTTACAGGAGTGGCGTTTCATGACGCAGCGGTCTACGCCGCCTTTGAAGGATGCAGCCCCTGAATTGGGACTCTCCAACATCTTGTGGAAAGGTTCCCAGAAGAGTCGAGGCTGTTTTAGCTGCAAAGGGGGGCGACGTCATATTAATGCCCATGGGTTCAGAACGGGACGTCCAACAAGTTCATATGGGTGTGATGGTCAGGTGTCCACATACTTTTGGCCACACAGTGGATACTACAGAAAAATACAGTATGAACTGTAACACTTATCAAAGAGCTTCACCAACCTGTCTTTATCTTTCTCATCCTTTCCGACAGAGGAGTCCCGTTTCTCTCGCTCCCTCTCTCTCTCTTTCTCCCTCTCTCGCTCCCTCTCTCGCTCGTGGCTGTTGGCGGAGCTGCTCCGCTCTCCTTCGCCAGATTTGGGCCACTGTGGGGGCGTGGGGAAGGAGGGTGGAGTCCGGTGGAGTCTGTTCCAGGCGTCGTGGTGGGGGCTGAAGCTGGGCAGCCCCGGTCCCTCTTTGGGTCCAAACATGCTGTTCGCACCTGAAACAAAACAGAGGAACACGCACTGTTAGCATCGGGGGTCCGAAACCTGCATGGTGAGGGGGGATTAAAAGCAGAGGAAGCCGAGGCAGAGCTCAAACACTCAGATTAATAACTGATCACAGTGATTTATCAGTCTACTCAGGCTTTAGCAGAGCTCAGTAACACTCAGATTAATAACTGATCACATTGATTTATCAGTCTACTCAGGCTTTAGCAGAGCTCAGTAACACAGATTAATAACTGATCACATTGATTTATCAGTCTACTCAGGCTTTAGCAGAGCTCAGTAACATTTAGATCAATAACTGATCACATTAATTTATCAGTCTACTCAGGCTTTAGCAGAGCTCAGTAACACTGAGATTAATAACTGATCATATTGATTTATCAGTCTACTCAGGCTTTAGCAGAGCTCAGTAACGCTAATATTTTGAATATTCACAATACTTGCATTCCATTATATTCCAACCCTGAGTTCACTGATTAATTGTCCTTATTTGAAATGCTTGATTTTCCGTACACAGTGACATGAGGACGAAAAATGAACAACTGTCTATGGACGTCATGTAAACATAGCATTCTCAAAAAATGGTAATATAAAAAAGGTGCAGAGATGCTGCGATTTCTTGCAAAAATTTCTAATTCTTATTATAATAACTGATGTTTATATTATAATGACTGATGTGAAGAGCAGGTTCTAAATAATGATTTGACAGTTTTCTTTTCCAATCAGTTGTTAAAAGCTCATATTGAAGCTCTTTTGTTCCAAACTCATTAAAACAGTTTAAATAGCTGAAAGGTTTGAGTGCTGACATCACAATAAGGGGTGAGTGGGCGTGGCCTTTGGCTTTATTCCCAAGAAAAAGAAAAAAGGGAGAAAGACATATATACATGTATAGAGAGAGAGAGAGAGAAAGAGAGAGAGATAGAGAGAGAGAGAAAGATAGAGAGAGTGAGATAGAGAGAGACAAAGAGAGATACAGACATCAAAAGATAGAGACAGCAAGAGATGTAGAGATGGAGAGAGAGAGAGAGAGAGAGAGAGAGCGCCGGGGAGAGAGAGAGCGAGAGAAGAAGAGAGGCAGAAAGAGAGAAAGGCATAAGAGAGCGAGAGAGAGAAAAAAAGACATCGAAAGAGAGAGATAGAGAGACAGTAAGAGAGAGAGAGCGCGAGAGAGAAGAAGAGAGGCAGAATGAGAGAGGCAGAAGAGAGCATGAGAGATAGGAAAAGAGAGAGAGAGAGAAAGACGGGAAGAGAGCGCGAGACAGAAGAAAATAAGTAGAATGAGAGAAAGGCAGAAGAGAGCGAGAGAGACAGAAAGAGAGAGATATAGAAACATCAAAAGAAAAAGACAGAGTTGTAGAGATGGAGAGAGAGAGAGAGAGACAGAAAGATGGGAAGAGAGAGAGTGAGAGAGAAGAGAGGCATAACATGAGAAAGGCAGAAGAGAGCGAACGAGATAGAAAAAGAGACGGAGAGAGAGAGAGCGAGAGAGAGAGCGAGAGAGGCCCACGCAGGTCTGAAAGCACTGGCGGGGTAATTAATGCGTGAGCAGCAGTAAAACAGCCTGGCTGTGAGTTTGCGTTGGAGGGTGATTTGGCAGCGTTTGCTGCTGTAAGACTAAACCAGCCTGTTGTGATGCGCTTCCCTTCAACTGCTTCTCCCTAAGCTCTTATTTGGCATTTGTTGCAGAGCTAAGTGCCTCTCTCTCTCTCTCTCTCTCTCTCTCTCTAAGCTGAGGCTGTATCCGGGGGGCTACGGGGTCAGGCCTTACCGAGGGATGGGTTGCCTAATCCACCGAAGGCACTGGCCGAAAGGTTGCTGAGGCCACCAAAGGAACTGGAGCGACCGAAAGCATCTGCAAAATGCCAAACAGGGATTAGAGACGAAGGCTGGAGGTGTCTGAACCGCTTCAGCCAGCTTTTCTCTCTCTCTCTGTCACTCTCTCTGCTTTAACGTCAGAGGGGTTAGCCCTGCTAGCGCTAGGTCTCTGAAGGGCTCACTGGGTCTCTCTGTGAGGCTGAGGAACGACTTTAGCGGCTAAACGGTACAGAAAACATGACAGGAGTGAGTGGGTTTCAGGCTTAACAGCCAGTCAGTGTTACCATTACTGCTGCTAGCGCTACTTGACTAAAAGGCCTACTTGGTGTCTTTCTGTGGAATTAATTACTTGTCTAAACAGCAAAGAACAGAAATAAATCGGCTTTAGACATCATAATCAGTCAGAGTTAGCTTAGCGCTGCTAATGCAAGTTCATTAAAGGTCTCACTCACAGTAGTCACTCTGAGTTAGTGTTAGCTGCTAACACAAGCTCACTGGGCGTCTAAAGCGCCTGCAGAAGGTATTTAACACACTTTAAAAGAAAGAAGTTAATGAAATAAGTGGGCTTTAGGCTTAATAGTCAGTGTTAGCATTACTGCTGCTAGTGCTAGTGTCTTTCTGTGGAATTAATTAATTGTCTAAACAAGAAAAGACAGAAATGAGTGAGCTTTAGGCACAATAATCAGTCAGAGTTAGCATTAGCCGCTAACACTAGCTCACTAAAAGGCTCACTGGGTGTCTAAAGCGCCTGCAGAAGGTTTTTAACATGCATTAAAAGAAAGAAGTGAATGAAATAAGTGGGCTTTAGGCTTAATAGCCAGTCAGTGTTAGCATTTCTGCTAGCAGTAGTTCACTAAAAGGCCTACTAGGTGTCTTTCTGTGGAATTAATTACTTGACTAAACAGGAAAAGAATAGAAATAAATCGGCTTTAGACATCATAATCAGTCAGAGTTAGCTTAGCGATGCTAATGCAAGTTCATTAAAGGCCTCACACATAATAGTCACCCAAAGTCAGCATTAGCTGCTAACACTAGCTCACTGGGTGTCTTAATGTGCCTGCAGAAGGTATTTAACACACTTTAAAAGAAAGAAGTGAATGAAATAAGTGGGCCTTGGCTTAATAGTGAGTGTTAGCATTACTACTGCTAGCGCTACTTGACTAAAAGGCCTACTTGGTGTCTTTCTGTGGAATTAATTAATTGTCTAAACAGCAAAAGATAGAAATTAGTTAACTTTAGACATAACAATCAGTCAAAGTTAGCAACAGCTGCTGAGGCTAGTTCGCTAAAACGCTCACTGAGTGTCTGGAAAGTATTTAGCATATTTTGGAGGAAAGAGGTAGAAATAAGTGCATTTTAGGCATAATAATAAGGCAGAGTTAGCGCTGCTAATGCAAGTTCACTAAAGGGCTCACACATTACAGTCAGTCAGAGTTAGCATTAGCTGCCAATGCAAGCTCACTGAAGGGCTCACTGGGTGTCTTAAAGCGCCTGCAGAAGGTTTTTAACATACATTAAAAGAAAGAAGTGAATGAAATAAGTGGGCTTTAGGCTTCATAGCCAGTATTAGCATTACTGCTGCTAGCGTTAGGCTACTAAAAGGCCTACTAGGTGTCTTTCTGTGGAATTAATTAATTGTCTAAACAGCAAAAGATAGAAATGAGTGAGCTTTAGGCACTATAATCAGTCAGAGTTAGCATCAGCTGCTAATGCAGGTTCATTAAAGGCGTCACACATAACAGTCAGTGAAAGTTAGCATTAGCTGCTGAGGCTAGTTCGCTAAAGCGCTCACTGAGTGTCTGTGGAAAGTATTTAGCATATTTTGGAGGAAAGATGTAGAAATAAGTGCATTTTAGGCATAATAATAAGGCAGAGTTAGCGCTGCTAATGCAAGTTCACTAAAGGGCTCACACATTACAGTCAGTCAGAGTTAGCATTAGCTGCTAACTCCAGTTCACTAAAGGGCTCCCTGGGTGTTTTAATGAGGCTGCAGAAGGTATTTAGTGTAATTTAGAGGCAAAAGGTGATGGAAATGAGGGGGATTTAGAGACGGTCACTCAGAGAATGCATTAACGTTTCCTGTGTTAGTTTACTAAACGGCTCACTGGGTCACTTAGTAATGACTTTAGCAGCTAAACGGTAAAGGGAAGAGGTGATGGGAATGAGTGGACTTCAGGAATAATAGCCAGGCCAGATTTAAACATACATCATATGGGTCATTATACAGAAACGTCCATTTTTGTGTCCCTAGCGTTTATAGATATATTACACTTAAAAAACATGTTAGGGTTACAATTTAATTACATTTTCGAATAAAACAATAAGTTATTTTCAATTTCACCTTCTTGAGCCTCAATTTGGCAATATTGGCTTTTAAATCTATTATCTAGAATTCCAAGCGCCCTAGAAGAGCTCGTCTCCACAGTCATGTGTGAAGGCTGAGGCCATATTTTGAGGTAAAAAACACATTTTTCTGCAATTTTAACTGCAATAATCTATACATGACTATGGACTATATGAATTAAATGACAAAGAAAAATGCTGAATAAATTTTCTAAAATATATAATGAACGCTGTTGTCCCCAGGAGTCGTGTCACTGGTGTTACTGCATTAAAAAAATATATATATATATGTTATTTTGAAATAAAAGTCACGCTGATGACATCACGACTTCCTTTTACCTGTTTTCTGAGGATCTATGAAGAAAAGCTCATGGTGAGTCCACTGTGTCTTTCAGTTATCAGAGATTTTCTCATTTAGCTCATGATTTCATATGAAGCTTTTAGCTGAAGTCACTGGTGTGACCGACTTTATTCTGAGGTAATTGTGAAAAAATAGAACACAAATGGATTAAATTCCATATTTCAGTGGATATTCCATGATTGACAACATGTGGTTTGATGCTCTGTAGCAGTTATTTTGTAAAATGCATTGTTCATTAAAAATGTCTCTGATGTTCCCTTTATTATGTGTAACACCAATGAGGATCAGTAACACCAGTGACTCCTATGGACAGATAGGAAAGTGGACGTTTCTACAGAATGACCCATATAAGGACGTGAACGAAGTGGTTTTGCCCGTTGTTACGTTTAAAAATGACCCATATGGATAAATAATATAGTCCATATATATTTATCAGGCATAATTTTGCAATGTATGAAAATGGCCAAAGCATTTAGTAAATATATTTTTAAAATTCATTTATCAGTGTTAGTTATTATCTGTGTTCAGTTGTGTGTAATGGAGGTTCCAGATGTGACTAAACGTTCTTCTGTGATCTGCACTGTACTTTACATTAACCATGTACGTCTGCAGTCAGACTCTCACACACAATGTATTTCACATAAACAAGATATCAGATCATAACTGCATTTTCACAGAGTATCAATACCCACAACACTCGCTTCTGTCATGGTAGACGATCATTTGATCAGATTTAAAATGAAGATACTGGAAAACAAATTCATTTCAAACAGTAAAGTGCATTGGACAGGATTCTGGCTAACACATTTACATACATTTATTTTTGTATGGTACATTTCTATGTGTAATATTTCCCCATATATTGTAAAATAAATACATTTTAAAATATATTTGTTTAATATGGCAATACATTCTGAAATACATTAGTGTTTGGAATGTATTTCGGCATCGACTGCAGTGTGTTTGAAATGTATTTCAAATGTAAAAAAACACACGTTCATGTATTTTTTTCCATATGGGGAGTCACAATGCAAGCACAAGCTGCATTCTGAGCATTACAGCAAGGGGCGCTACAGCGTCAGCCAACCCTGAGAAAGCTATCTTGTACCACGAGCATCCTTTCTTCTGGTCAAGCTGCCGAGTCTCACGCAAAAACGGGTCACTTACATAAACAAAAATATGATCCATTATCGCCTTTTAATTCCAGCACAGCAGGTTAAGCAGATCACTCTCCTCGACTGTTCATGTTTACCTGCTAAGGCTGTTGGAATAACAGTAGACCTCAATCTGAATTGTCCTCTAGCGCCCCCTTGAGTGTTTAACTGGCACAGTAACGTAAGAACGCAGGGTCAGTTAGTGCAGAAGGGCCTGCGTTTGCAATGCGCTGGCCAAGCATTGTCATTTGTGTTTGCTTCTTGGCGTTGAGTATGTTTCAGGCCTCAGCGTTAGCACTGCTGGCGCTGGTTCACTTGGCTCAGTGGCTGCGGAATGACTTAGTGCCACTAATGCTAGTTTATTAAAGCTTTTAATGGCTGTCTTTATGAGGCTGCGGAACGTATTTAGCAGCTAAACAAAAGCGGAAAACAGGTTATGGAAATGAATGAGAGAGTTAGCATTAGCGCGGCTACCGCTGGGTCACACAAGGGCTCAGTGGGTCTCTTTGTGAGGCTGTGAAATGAATTTAATGGCTAAACCATAAAGGACAGCAGTGATGGGAATGAGTGAGTGCAGTATTCCGTACAGTGTTTCAGTAGACACAGCGGAAATAGCCAAAGTCACGTAGGATGTAATGATTGGTTGGACTCCGCAAAATCTGCCTAGCAACCAATATGCATTTTGATTGGTCACATTTGGGCCAACACTTTGAAGATATGCGAAAAAACGTCATCAGTTTATGCCGTCAGTGTTCCATTAACACCGCCTCCACAGATGGAGCAATTTCTGTAGTGTTTTCTTGCTTTTAAGTGTTATTAAATGTAAATACTTAAAAATGGTCATTGACTTATCACACATTTTTAAAAAATGAATTAATATAAACAATAAATGAGGCTACTACACAAAAAAGCCAGTAAAGTGAATCAGTAGTGTGAAGCCGTGTCTGCTAAAGTAACTTAGCTCACGTTATTAACTCAATATTAATTGTAGCAGTTATTTTGTAAAATGCATTGTTTATTAAAAATGTCTCTGGTGTTCCTTTATTATGTGTAACACCAGTGAGGATCAGTAACACCAGTGACTCTTGCAAACGTATTATGTTTTACAGTGCTAACCTACTGTTTAACGTTCATTAGAGTGTTAAATACGATGGTAAAACTGCGTAAAATCCATTTTAACTGACTATGAAAGTATCGCTACTGTCACTATTTACACGGATTTGATGTCCAAACTCAGACGGTCATGTGAACCGCTTTAATGGAAACATGGATATATGACAATGTCTCAGGAAACTGTCCCCAGGAAAGCCCCAGGCAGCTGGCTGGAGGTTAGGGAACCAGCCTTGTGACCGGAAGGCCGTCGGTTCGATCCCCTGAGCCGACAGTACATGACTGTAGTGCCCTTGAACAAGACGCCTAACCCCCAACTGCTCCCTGGGCGCCGTAGATAGGGCTGCCCACCACTCCGGGCAAGTGAGCTCACTGCCCCCTAGTGTGTGTTCACTAGTGTGTATGTTTGTGGGTGTTTCACTGCACGGATGGGTTAAATGAGGAGGTCTAATTCCTCTGTGTGCAAACACAGCTGGCCAATTCTATTCTTCCATTCTATAATAGTTAAGCTGCAAGAGTACAGAATAGTGAAACGTACGGAATACTGAAGTGTACGGAATAGTGAAGTGTATGGAATACTGAAGTGTGCGGAATAGTAAGATGTATGGAATACTGAAGCGTACAGAATAATGAAGCATATGGAATACTGAAGTGTATGGAATAGTGAAATGTATGGAATACTGAAGTGTATGGAATAGAGAAATGTATGGAATACTGAAGTGTACGGAATAGTGAAGTCTATGGAATACTGAAGTGTACGGAATAGTGAAGTGTATGGAATACTGATGTGTTCGGAATAGTGAAATGTATGGAATACTGACGTGTACGGAATAGTGAAATGTATGGAATACTGACATGTTTGGAATAGTGAAATGTATGGAATACTGAGGTGTACGGAATAGTGAAACGTATGGAATACTGACGTGTACGGAATGTGCGGAATAACTGTGCTCTTACGTCATAGTCATTTAGAGTTAGCATTAGCACTGCTAACGCTAGTTTACTAGAGGGTCTCTGTGAGGATGAGGAACGAACTCACTGGCTCTAGTGAGGCTATGAATTTAGCCGCTAAACTCTGGAGAACAGAGGTGATGGTAGGCTTTCGGCATAATAGGCAAAGGAGTGAGCATTAGTGCTGCTAGCGCTGGTTCACTGTAGGGCTCACTGGGTTTCTTTGTGAGGCTAGACAGTGGTGAAAAAACTGACAGAAGTGGTGGACTTAGGCATGAGATCTAGCTTTAGCCGTTTAGTTTCAATTTTATTTGGACGCTATTCTCTTTGTGGTCCCATTTCTGCAAACCATTTGTGAACTGGTCAGCACCTACCGCACTGGCCACAGCAAAGTCCAGTTCATTTATTCAGACCATTTATTTCGTTCACCCACTAAAAGAACGTCTTCAAATACCACGTTTCTTTGCAGGCCATAAACAAGGCACGTCTTTGCGAGTGCGGGGGCACGAATTTTGAATTCTTTGGGTGTTTTATTATTTATTTATTTATTTTGGCCGAATCCTTGAAGAGTTTCATCAATTTCTCTTTATTTCCCCCGAGCATCAGGTGTTTATAAACTCAGATTGGATTGACTCGAAAGCTCGCTCTGCGAAATCACCTCGAGGCGCCGAAGCCAAACAATGCCTCTGATGGAAACGGCACAGGAGGGAGCACAATGGCCTTAATCATTTTCTGAAAACGGCAAGAAACTACTGGGTGAAAAGGAGCACCGGAAGCCAGAGCGTGAAGAAAAGGGGGAATTCAAGGTAAAAAGATCCTATTCAGCGGGTCTGGGGGCATTCAGGGCGCTTTAGAAACACTCCAGGGTCTCGTGAAATAAAAGCAAAAGCTATGCTCGGTGGAGTGTTTCCCCTGAAACACAGTAAAAAGCTTTTTTTAACAAAATATATTTTTCTTTCTTTTTTTTTTTTAATCTTTAGACTTTTTTCCAAGTCCGTCAGTCCCTTGGAAGTAATCAGCAAGGCCAAAGCTCGTCATAATGGCAGACCTTTGCTGAAATCACAAGACGCTTTTCTCTAAATCAACCTTGAGACGACGTGGCAAAGGAAAATATGCCGCAATGCAGAAACGGCGGTGCTTTCCACAACAACAGCACCGGACTGAAGTCCAATTTATCACAATCAGCTTTCGCAGGTGACACACACACACACAGTGCGAGTTAACTGCTGGACAAACAGCAGAGTAAAGATATTAAATATTAAAATAAAGATTGGGTTTACTTACGCTTACCTGCCAAATGCGTAGGGGGCAGGAAGCCGCTGTGGTGAGGTGCAGGACCATACGGAGAAGCAGCGGGATGACCAGCGCCTATTGGAAGAGAAAGAGGACAGAATTAGAAGATGACCAATAACACACAGAGAGAGAACTGACCTGTACAGTTTATCACAATACCTACATTTAGAGTCAGTTATTCATTCAGCCTAATGAGAAACTGTAGAACAGACTCAGTTTATATCACAATACCTACATTTAGAGTCAGTTATTCATTCAGCCTAATGAGAAACTGTAGAACAGACTCAGTTTATATCACAATACCTACATTTAGAGTCAGTTATTCATTCAGCCTAATGAGAAACTGTAGAACAGACTCGGTTTATATCACAATACCTACATTTAGAGTCGGTTATTCATTCAGCCTAATGAGAAACTGTAGAACAGACTCAGTTTATATCACAATACCTACATTTAGAGTCAGTTATTCATTCAGCCTAATGAGAAACTGTAGAACAGACTCAGTTTATATCACAATACCTACATTTAGAGTCAGTTATTCATTCAGCCTAATGAGAAACTGTAGAACAGATTCAGTTTATATCATACTGCCTACATTTAGAGCCAGTTTCTGACCACAGAGCTGCTCTCTTAAATCTACAAAGTACACCTATATGGTGGGTGTTTCCAATAAATTGGCCAAGCTAAAAGGTAAGGGTTTCTATTAAACTGGATGGACGATGTATATCAAAATCAAATTCTGACCTTTTCCAATTCTAATATACATAAAAACCTGTTCTGTTTTTCTCCGTATAATTTCCCCACCTTGTTTTGCCTTGAAAATAAACCAACTCGGCTGCAGAGAACCGAAACGGCAGCTGCACCGTTAATGTCAACCAAGGCCTTTTCAGCAGCCTGAATGCGTAGCAGAGGTTGTCAAGGGGACTCTGCGCTTTAAATTTAATCCGAAAGGTCTGCCCTTGTTTTCGGCCTGAACTGTTTGTCGTTTCTTTGAGTGAATCATTAATAAAAGAGGCAATTACAAGCTTGTTTTATGACACAATGCTGGGTAATTACATCCTAAAGGGCAGTCAAATTCATGCTGCCCTTCAAGCAAGGGCTACCGGTCAATTAGCTCAGGTAGAGGCATTTGTATTCATGCCCACGGCAGGCGCGCGGTCGGGATAACAACATGCAAATCACCTCAACGGTGGGCGAGGAACAGAAAATGAGGCGAGGCGAGGTGCATTATTCAGCTTTAATGCCGCCTGAGCCGCTCTGGCCGTGAGATCTGCTATACATTATGAATCATCTGGGCTGGAAATGCAGCCTGAGCGGCGAGCGCAAACGTGATTTTAACGCGCAAGCAGGCCATTTAAATGAGGTCAAACAGCAGGCCGTGACATTTGCGGCTGCTATTTTCCACAAGGAGATACGCGCACTTTAAACAGGGCAGATGGTCACATGGGCTCAAGGAAAGCCTTTAACCCTCCGAGCTCCCCTCGAAACAGCTCGTCTCACATTTCATTCAATAATTCCTGACTCAAAGCTCGATGAAACGAGCTGAGAAATTGAGCGGAAAGTGTAGATTCTGAACATTCGGTTTATACCACATGCTTGTTCGTGAGTAGAAGAGGAGATATTTTATGATGTGAATATTTTTGCTGTCCAAAGCAAAAACGTGTATCTCCAAAACATCAACTTTACAGGAGAAGGCAAAAGCTTTCTTTACGTTTAATGTAAGTTAATGTAAGGAGGTTTTATTACAAGTGATATTTGAGTATTTCTATTGGTGCGATATTTATAAAATTATGACAGGATGTAAAAGACAGCAACCATGTTCAAAGGAAGTAGAACAGTAAAAAATTAAATAAAAAATTTAGATTTTTTTTGAACAGTGATGATATATTGTTTAGTGCAAAGAAAAACATTATTTAATTTTTTCCATGTTTTTTGGAAACACACTGGGAAAGCCTAATATTGCAAAATGAAGAAATGACCATAAATAAAAGACTACAGTATATTATTCAAGACTGCAACTAGTCAACTAGTTTTCAACAACATTGATTATGGAAAAGTTCTCATGTTTTCTTTAAAACAGAAGCGCTTTGTAATGCTTTAAAAAGCCTCTATAATGTTCATATGATCCACGCAGTCATTCTGACAGACTGTAATACACCACAGGAAGTGTAGGGGGCGATATGGCTTCTACTGTTTCATTTAAAAAGCTCTATAATGTTCATATGATCCACACAGTCATTCTGACAGACTGTAATACACTACAGGAAGTGTAGGGGGCGATATGGCTTCTACTGTTTCATTTAAAAAGCCTCTATAATGTTCATATGATCCACACAGCCATTCTGACAGACTGTAATACACTACAGGAAGTGCAGGGGGCGATATGGCTTCTACTGTTTCATTTAAAAAGCTCTATCATGTTTATATGATCCACACAGTCACTCTGACAGACTGTAATACACTACAGGCACTGTAGATGGCACCAGGGATAACAGGTCAATATCCAAGGTGGTTGCTAAGTCATTGCTATGGTATCCCAGGTGGTTGCTAAGGTAAACAGTGAACAAAACGTCTGGTACAAAATATTTGAATCAACATGGTATAGATTATTATTGAGCCACAAATATTCATATGACAAACATTTGAATGGTACACACACCTGTGGATGAAAAGAGTGGTCTGGCCAGGTCATGTGGGTAGGGAAAGCCTGGAAAGACCCCCGGGGCTGGGGGTCTGCTGAACAGGTCCAGTTTCCCATTCATGTCCAGTTTATGAGGGTCCAACTGCATCTGCTACAGAGCAAGAAAGAGGGCAAAACAGTTCAGCCAATGAAAACGTACATTAACAACAACCACATTTCAATCCACAGAACTAACTGTTATAAAATTACGCTGTCATTTTATATGAATTACGTCTGACTCATAGTTCACTGGAAAAGCGACTTTCAATCAATGCCACATTTGTGTTTACATGCAAAAGAGGAGATTTTGTGTTATGATTTGAATTTATGAAAGGTTGGCTCGTGTGGAAAGAATGTATTACAGACTTCTGAAGTTGGCTTTACAGTAAATGTGCACTTAAAACGTCACTAGTATTGCATAACGTAAAGCCTCACGCAGTTCACTGGATGCCTGTTTTGAAACTCAGCTGCAACCATCTCAACTCTGTGAAACAAGTTTCATGAAACAACCAATCAAAATTCAGATAATGTATCACATCAAACAATGTCATTCAACCTACTGATTTAAACTGACACATCAAAATAAACAGAGGATATTTTATTGGAATAATATTCATTATTTGCTGGTAACCGGTTAGTTTACACTGCTAAAAATGCTCTCAGCAAATAAAATGTAAATAATAATACAACTAATATTTCTCATTTTGAGATTGTTGAGATTGTTGTAAGCTCATTTTAATATTATTTAACTCTTTTCTAAACACTTTCAGTAAGTAAAATGATCTCACTGTATTGGCAGGTAACTCTGTTGTATGGAATGTGCTCGAAACCAGCGAAGCAAAGTTCTTTGCCAACATAAAGAGATCATTTTACTTAAAACAAGTAAAAATACCTACAGATAATTGAACTAGTCTTAAAATAAACTTAGAACAATCTCAAAATGAGGAATATTAGATATATTAACTAGATATAAGATCATTTCATGTGCCAAGATACCATCTGCAATGTAACTAGCTAGTTAGCGAACCAGCTAACATCAGCAGACAGTTGCTTGTGCTAGCGTTCGGCTTTGATAGCCTGTTGTATTGTTATACGCAAAGTTAGCTTATGAATTTTCTCTTCTTCTGACATAAAAATGGTGCAAAAGCTAAATAACACAGATGGTTTTATACAGCTTTAACTACAGCTACTAGCTAGCTGCTAATCTTGCTAACTAGTGGAACAATCAAATGTGTTGCATGCAACTTTAATTATCTGCCTCGAGTAATTAAGAAGTTGGAACAGTTTCCTGTTAGGGATGCGGGATAGCAGCAATTTAGGGAACTGCAAATTGAGATTGTATCAACTTTATGCAGATTAATTATAATCTAAATCATCAGTTCTAGCTAATTCATAGACAAGGGTTGTCTGAAGTCCCCAGTCTGTTCCTACTGGGATTTTTTCATATGTCCAATATGTCACATAAAGAAATGAAAGAGAAACTTTAAACCTTATAAATGTATAACCTCAGTCTGTATTCAAAAGGGGAACTCCACCAAAAAAATTTCCTCATAATTCAGTGATTAAGATGTAAACAGAGAGATTCAGAGTGGTTTGGTGTGAAATGGTTCAGACGTCTTTACAGTGGTGGTGATAGGAACCAGGGGTCGCCATGACTACAACACAGATAGGCATTTTATTTACTATCCAGAACCACCAGTGAACCTACACGAGTCTTCTGAGTTTACATGGAATGTTGATGATGGAAAATAGTGGAAAATCTGAAATAATAAGTTTTCTTTGGGGACTATTTTGCCTCACAGCGCCCTGCATGTATCCCTCCACCATGAATGGAGTTTAAGTTCTCTAAACTATCATAAAACAGTGTCTCAGTCATCAGGCAGTGAATTCATAACCATTTACTGTAGGAACTTTCTGTGAGGGAGCTTTTAGAGGTGGACGTCTGGTTCCTATCACCACCACTGTGAACAGTTCTGACTCGGTAAGTTTGTCTAGAACGGAGCGTTTCACACCAAACCACTCTGAACGACTCTGTTTACATCTTAACCACTTAATTATGCAGGAATTTTGAAGTTCCACTTATATAATATTATATTAGGATTCATGCCCAGAACAATAACAATATTAGTGGTCCTTGGTTCTTCAAGGGTTCTTTAGTAAATACAGTGTTTCTATATAGAACCATGAACGCTCAAAGAACCCTTTGCATGCTCAAATGCAAAAAAAAATCAAATGCATGGTGAAATGGTTCTTCAGATTGATGGAGGATGTTGTATTTGGTTCTATATAGCACCAGAAAGTGTTCTTCTATTGTAACAAGCTTGATATCGTAACAATAGAAAAACTCTTTTTGGTGCTGTACAGAAAAGGTCTATATAGAACCATCTGCAGCACATTCTCCATTAATCTGAAGAACCCCTTCAGGATGTGAAGAATCCTTTAGTCATGCCAAGGGTTCTTTGAGTGTCTATATAGGAGCCCCAGATGGAACTAATTTTCCATAGGTGAAAATTTATTTGTGGTAATTTTTTACCAGCAATACCAGAAAACATTAAAAGTATCTCTGGAACTACTTTCTCTTTTATTGCTCCAGTGTTTTAAAGTTAGATAAAACCTCCCAAGAGCAGCTTTAGTGAGACGTTCTCTCATCCTGACACCTGCACTGAGATTCAGATCCGCATCTGAAGTCACGGTACGTACAGCACAGACCCCGCAGACGGAGATTAGATGGAAAAAAGCAGGAATATTCCTTAAAGAAGATGAAAAGAACTCAATTTAGCGTGAACATGGAGGCATCTCTCTTACCTTCATCTTCTGCTGATGGTGGTAGATCTGCCAGGCGATTTGGACGTGAACCGCACACCATTTACCCGGCTTCTGCACAGCGCCGAAGCGGAACAGACAAAAGGGGTTAAGCGGCATTTATAACGAAATGAGAGGTTTAAGACAAAAACCCAGAATATCATGTTCTGTAGAGAGATGGAAAAGTCAGAATCTTACTCTCACTGAAGTCCTGAATGGATCTGTTACCTGCAGAAGAAAAGCAGAACAGACAGAAAGTAAATCGAAAAGCAACACTCTCTTTCACTCAACCTATAAATGTGCCTGCAAATCCTTCACACGGCGATATTTCATCAATTATTATTACCACTTTTGTCCATTTCCAAAGAGAATAGTGTTCGGTTTGAATGAACTCTAGTGTTTCCGATGTCAATAAAGGCAGTAGGGAACCACCAGGCCGTTCTAAGTCTTCAGAGATGATATAAAATTGAATTAATTGAATTAAAATTCTAAAAAAAATAATTTTTCTTACTTAATTTTTATTGAACTGGATCATCACGCTTGTTGTTCTTGAACTCTATCGTAGTAGATTGAACAAAAGAGTCAAAACCTTGGAACGCCCAATGAAAAATTATCCAATTAGGATTCTGGGGTTCTCTCCATCGTATCTAGGTAGATTCAGCCAAGCGAGCTCTCCCATTGGTTAGGACTTCAGGAGCTGGACTGAAGGCCTTACATATTAGATTAACCACGTACACAATTAGAAAGTGGGAGAGGAATCAACCAGTCATGCTGTGGGACCAATTTAGTGGGAAAAAATGTCTTCTGGAAGTTCTAGATACGTCACTGAATGTGAATATGAGCCGTAGTCTAAGCAAATTTGGGTTAGTTGTTAGGAATGGAAAACAGCAGCGGCAGCTCTTTACTGAAAGAGTCACCGTAACACTGATAAAGCTCACATACACCAATCAGGTATAACATTCTGACCACCTCCTTGTTTCTAGACTCATTGTCCATTTTATCAGCTCCACTTACTATATAGGTGCACTTTGTAGTTCTACAGTTACAGACTGTAGTCCATCTGTTTCTCTGATACTTTGTTAGCCCCCTTTCACCCTGTTCTTCAGTGGTCAGGACCCCCATGGACCCTCACAGAGCAGGTACTATTTGGGTGGTGGATCATTCTCAGCACTGCAGTAACACTGACGTGGTGGTGGTGTGTTAGTGTGTGTTGTGCTGGTCTGAGTGGATCAGACACAGCAGTGCTGCTGGAGTTTTTAAACACCTCAGTGTCACTGCTGGACTGAGAATAGTCCACCAACCAAAAATATCCAGCCAACAGCGTCCTGTGACCACTGATGAAGGACTAGAGAATGACCAACACAAACTGTGCAGCAGCAGATGAGCTACCGTCTCTGACTTTACATCTACAAGGTGGACTGACAAGGTAGGAGCGTCTAATAGAGTGGACAGTGAGTGGACAGTGTTTAAAAACTCCAGCAGAACTGCTGTGTCTGATCCACTCGTACCAGCACAACACACACTAACACACCACCACCATGTCAGTGTTACTGCAGTGCTGAGAATGATCCACCACCCAAATAGTACCTGCTCTGTGAGGGTCCATGGGGGTCCTGACCACTGAAGAACAGGGTAAAAGGGGGCTAACAAAGTATCAGAGAAACAGATGGACTACAGTCTGTAACTGTAGAACTACAAAGTGCACCTATATAGTAAGTGGAGCTGATAAAATGGACAATGAGCGTAGAAACAAGGAGGTGGTCAGAATGTTATGCCTGATCGGTGTGTATATGTTAATGTCTGTTACAAGCTTCACATGAACGGTCCTTGTTAATCTAGAATGGCCAAAAAAAATTCACATAATAGGTGTGCTAACAGGAATTTTATCATAGATGTGCTTTTTTCCCTGAAGGCCGACTTCTGGCCATGGAGTAAAACTGAGTGTTTTTACGACTGATATATTAAGTGAAACATACCCGTGGGTCCTTCTGCAGAAGGGTATGAGGAACTGCTCCTGGTCTTGCTGCTACATCAATGGGGTTAGACGCCTGAAGAGAAAGTTGAGAAATCAACAACTTCACATAAAACACGATCAGATATTCACTAACGGACCAAAGCTCTGTTAGAGCAGAACCGGTTTAAATAGAGGAGGTTCTGGACTTCTGAGCTTCGGCAGTGATGAACAGCAAATATTTCAAGCTTCGGGCCACGAGGGCTGAGAATAACCGTGTCCGACACCACTGTAAAATCCAAACTCGAGGTGCAAAGGGCAGCATCTCGGCCTTAGTGAGGGTCCAGTATGGTGGGGTGCCGTTTGTGGCCACGCTGGGAAAACATGCTGTCTAGCACTGCATTAGCGTGACGTTCCACATTTGAAAGTGCAATTTAAGTATAAATATAGTGTGTTTTTAGCCGTTAGCGCCGGAGAGGCTGTGTTTTTAGCCGTTAGCGCCGGAGAGGCTGTGTTTTTAGCCGTAGCCGGAGAGGCTGTGTTTTTAGCCGTTAGCGCCGGAGAGGCTGTGTTTTTAGCCGTTAGAGCCGGAGAGGCTGTGTTTTTAGCCGTTAGAGCCGGAGAGGCTGTGTTTTTAGCCGTTAGAGCCGGAGAGGCTGCGTTCTTAGCCGTTAGAGCCGGAGAGGCTGCGTTTTTAGCCTTTAGAGCCGGAGAGGCTGCGTTTTTAGCCATTAGAGCCGGAGAGGCTGCGTTCTTAGCCATTAGAGCTGGAGAGGCTGCGTTCTTAGTTTTTAGTGTTTCTTCTCTCCGTGTTTTGCGCTGTTTTAAGCTAATTAATAATAAAGCTGTGCTATGGAGCGTGACCTCAAGTCGTCTAAGGTTCTCCTGAGAGCCCGAATGCTGTTTGCCTTTATTGATAGCTGACATTGAGCCTGAAAAAAACAATATCCAAATCTCAAAATTAAAAACTGAATACTTATCCAATTAGCTAATATCCGAATTGCTGAATATCCAGATCCAGCTCTACTGTAATGTCATTTGTAAAGGATCTGACTGGCATCAATTATCACAAACAGTAATTTTACTTAAAAAACCTGGAACCAAAACTGGGATGTCTGTTCACAAGACAGCTTATTACTTATTTGAACATCTGTGGAGCATCTGTAGGGGGCGCCATCCAAATAAAGTGGGACCCAACAGTCTCATATTGACTATATTTAAGTTAATTGAACTTCCCAAGATGTAATTCTGTTCAGTTTAGAGATTAAGTTATAACCGCTGGACTGTTTCCTCAGGAACAGAGAAGACGCTCATGCGGAATGACTGTAAAAGCCCTCAGTGATGCTACAGTGGTCACTAAAGCCACTGCCGGGCCACACTGGACCATGATAACTCAGGCTGGACTATAAGCCCTGTAGCCGCCGTCCAGAACCGATTGGTGGCTTACCCACGGGTCAGAGTGATTGGTATGCTGCCAAGCTGAGCGCTAGGCTTATCTCTCTCTCACACACACACACACACACACACACACACACACACACACACACACTCACACACATAGCAGCTCAGAAAACATTTAATATCCACACAGAACCATTCAGCTGTTCAGTCACAGCCATAATGGAAAAGCACATGCTGTTAGATTCAGAAGCAGCTTGTTAGTGTTCACCGCCCGTCACAAGTTTGGGTTCACTCTGCAGTCGTTTGAGTTCCAATTCAAATTTACACCAATCAGCATTAACATTAAACCACCTCCTTGTATCTCTTCTCACTGTCCATTTTATCAGCTCCACTGACCACATAGTTTCACTCTGTACTTCTACAGTTACAGACTGTAGTCCATCTGTTTCTCTGCATACTTTGTTACCCTGTTCTTCAGTGGTCAGGACCCCCATGGACCCTCACAGAGCAGGTACTATTTGGGTGGTGGATCATTCTCAGCACTGCAGTAACACTGACGCGGTGGTGGTGTGTTAGAGTGTGTTACGCTGGTCTGAGTGGATCAGTCACAGCAGTGCTGCTGGAGTTTTTAAACACCTCAGTGTCACTGCTGGACTGAAAACCAAAAATATCCAGCCAACAGCGTCCTGTGGGCAGCGTCCTGTGACCACTGATGACGGACTAGACAATGACCAACACAAACTGTGCAGCAGCAGATGAGCTATCGTCTCTGACTTTACATCTACAAGGTGGACTGACAAGGTAGGAGTGTCTAATAGAGTGGACAGTGAGTGGACACAGTGTTTAAAAACTCCAGCAGAACTGCTGTGTCTGATCCACTCGCACCAGCGCAACACACACTAACACACCACCACCACGTCAGTGTTACTGCAGTGCTGAGAATGACCCACCACCCAAACAGTACCTGCTCTGTGGGGGTCCATGGGGGTCCTGACCACTGAAGAACAGGGGAACAAAGTATGCAGAGAAACAGATGGACTACAGTCTGTAACTGTAGAACTACAGAGTGAAACTATATGGTCAGTGGAGCTGATAAAGTGGACAGTGAGTGTAGAAAGAAGCAGGTGGACTGAATGTTATGGCTGATCTGTGTGTTAGTTTGTCATTGTTAGTAAACACAGTGGTTCTATACAGAACCAGAAACACTCAAAAATCCATCTGCATGCTTAAATCATTCTTCAGATTGAAGGAGAATGTGTTGCATATGGTTCTACTTAGCATCAAAAAGGTTCTTCTACTGTTACGATATCAAGCTTTTAACAATAGACGACCCTTTTTTTGTGCATTATAGAACTCTTTTTAAAAAGGTTCTAAATAGAACCATATACAACACATTCTCCATCAATCTGAAGAACGATTTCACAATGCAAAGAACCATTTAAGCAGCCAAATGACTCTTTCTGTAAAGCTCCTTTGTGACAACAGCTTAAAAAAGATGGTTCTCGAAGGGTTCTTTAGTAAAAACAAAGGTTCTATATAGAACTGTGAACACTCAACAAGCCATCTGCATGCTTAAATGGTTCTTTGCATGGTGATATGGTTCTTCAGATTGATGGAGAATGTGTTGTATACGGTTCTATTTAGAACCTATTTGAAAAGAGTTCTATATAGCACCAACAATCCTCTATAGAACCATATACAACACATTCTCCATCAGTCTGAAGAACAATATCACGCAAAGGACCATGTAAGCATACAAATGGCTGTTTGGGTGTTCCTGGTTCAACATATACTCACTGTCTTTACTAAAGAACCCTTAAAGAACCATCTTTTTTAAGTGTATAGCTGAGTCCAAACTCTAAGTGAGCGAGCGAAGAACGAGAGAGGCAAGAAAAAGCTCCTCAGAGCTAAACAAAGACTTGAAACGAGAAGCTTATCGCAAACCGACAGAGGAAACAAAACCATTTGTATTAAAAACATTTTTAAAAGTCTTGAGTTTTGATTCTCCCCAAACTACAGACTGACACTGTGTGTATTTCTATATAAATGGAGATGTTCCTGACCTTTGGTTGAAAGGCTCCTTGCAGAGAGCTGAAGGGGCCGGGGTGAGGGAGCAGGGGGGGCATGCCAGGCATTGCCGGAGGGTACGAGGAGAAAAACTGCAGAAACAGAGAGAGAAACAAAACAACCAGGATCAAAAGCTGGGCCTTCAGATGTTAGGCCTACTGTGAATAACCGACTCTAAATGTAGGTATTGTGATATAAACTGAGTCTGTTCTACAGTTTCTCATTAGGCTGAATGAATAACCGACTCTAAATGTAGGTATTGTGATATAAACTGAGTCTGTTCTACAGTTTCTCATTAGGCTGAATGAATAACCGACTCTAAATGTAGGTATTGTGATATAAACTGAGTCTGTTCTACAGTTTCTCATTAGGCTGAATGAATAACCGACTCTAAATGTAGGTATTGTGATATAAACTGAGTCTGTTCTACAGTTTCTCATTAGGCTGAATGAATAACTGACTCTAAATGTAGGTATTGTGATATAAACTGAGTCTGTTCTACAGTTTCTCATTAGGCTGAATGAATAACCGACTCTAAATGTAGGTATTGTGATATAAACTCAGTCAGGTCGTGCTCCGGTCTCCTCTATAAGGCAGGTGGATATAATAAACGTTTGCACTCAGTACGTTTGCAGGGTTAATCTTAGACGTGTGTTCAGGTTTAGGTTTAAGTGTTGAGTGATCTGTGTGGAGGCTGTGAAGAGTTTTCTGTACTTACACTCGACTGCCTTAAGAAGGGATTGTCCAGCTTTGGAGCGTACTTATCAAACTGAGAGAGAGAGAGAGAGAGAGAGAGAGAGATGGGGTGAAAGACAGAGGGAAAAAGAAAGAAAGGAGAGACACAGAAAAAGAAAGATATATAGAAAGAGAGAGGAGAAGTGGAAGCGAGACAGAGTGAAAGAAAGATGGAGGCAGAAAGAGAGAAAGATAAATGAAGACAAAAAAAGAGAGATAGGGTGAAAGAGGGAGAGAAAGAAGAAAAAGAAAGGAAGAGAAAAAGAATGAGTGAGAGAGCAAGAATAAGAGAGGGAAAGGAAGAGACGAGCAAGAGAGAAGAGATAGGATGTGTGAGGGAGAGAAGAAAAAGATAAATAGCAAGAGAGAGAACAAAAGAAAGAAAAAGATAGAGAAAAAGGGGGGGAAGATAAAGAGTGGGAGAGAGGGAGAAAAGAGATGGAGAGAAAAGAGAAACAGAGGCAAAGAGAGAGAGAGAGAGAGAGAGAGAGGGAGAAAAAGAGAATAGGAAGAGAAATGAGAGAGAGGGAGAGAAAGGGAGAGAGAGGAAGACAAAGACAGAGAGAGAGAGAGAGAGAGAGAGGGAGAGAGAGAGAGAGGAAAAAAGAGAATAGGAAGAGAAATGAGAGAGAGGAAGAGAAAAGGGAGAAAGGAAGACAAAGACAGAGAGACAGAGACAGAGAGAGAGAAGGGAGAGAGAGGAAGACAAAGACAAGACAGAGAGAGAGAGAGAGAGAGAGAGAGAGAATAGGAAGAGAAATGAGAGAGGGAGAGAAAAGGGAGAGAGAGGAAGACAAAGACGAGAGAGAGAGAGAGAGAGAGAGAGAGAGAGAGAGAGAGAGAGAAAGAGTACAGGAAGAGAAATGAGAGAGAGAGGGAGAGAAAGGGGAGAGAGAGGAAGACAAAGAGAGAGAGAAATAAAAAAAAACACATCAGCACCACAAATCACATTGAAATCAAAGGCATGTGTGACCAAAAACAACATGAAAGAGATTTAACGGCGGAGGAGGAAGCGGCGCGTTTACACAGCAGAATAAAAACCAGATGAAGCTCAAACGAATTAAAGCCGCTCAATGAAACAATTACACAGCGAAACAGCCACCCAGCCGCACATGAAAGAGCAGAGAAGAAAGAAAAGAAAAGAAGAGAAAGGAAAAGAAAGGAAACCTCTCCGCAGCAGCTGGCCTTGGCAACGAAGAGAACACACGGCTCTCAGAGCGGAGATAAAACTGCTTATTTGGCAACGACAGCAAAGCGAACGCTCGGCTGGTGCCGAACGAGTCTCGACCTCGTCACTCTGTGTTTCTCTCTTTGGGGAAAGCGAGTGATGCTGTCGAAAGTCGCTGCTGTTTCACTCTGCGGTGAGCAGAGCTGTCCTGAGGACCAGGCCTGAGGCCGGGCATATGATGTGGCCGATGATGTCATGCAAAACGATGTTATATGACGCTATAATGAGGTGAGAGACGACAATATATCGCTGCTGTCGGAAGAAAACCTCGTATCTCCATTTTTGTCGTTTTTCAGTTTTTAACATAACATGGTGTATAAATTTTATGATGAATGGACCAAAAGAAACGACCCAAAACGACTTGGAAAAAACTCTGGTTCCATTGACTTACATTAAAAGTAAAGTATGTTTTTTACTTCTCCTGTAAAGTTACCATTAACCTCTGCTGTCTCGTTCTGGACCAGCTTTATGCAAATGAGCTGAGCGGTGACCAATCAGATTGTTGATACGTGGCGCGGCGTGACGGCCACAGTCACACACTGAGATTCAACACTAGAACACACACCGAGCCGGAGAGACAGGGGTTCGTATGTTATTATTAGTTCAGATTATTCGTTTAATGTCATTTATATTGCAACCAGGGAGGGGGGGGTGTTTTAAGTTGGGGTTGCTGAAATTTTAGGCAGGGTATACGTGGCCGATGATGTCATGCCATTTTAATACATCAAACAGAACGTGTTATATGACGCTATAATGAGGCGAGAGACGACAATATATCGCTGCTGTCGGAAGAAAACCTCGTATCTCCATTTTTTGTCGTTTTTTCAGTTTTTAACATAATCTGAAAATGCCTGCTGCTCTTTACGTTGTATGTAAATTTTATGAAGGACGGACCAAAAGAAACGACCTAAAACGACTTGGAAAAAACTCTGGTTCCACTGACTTACATTAAAAGTGGTTAGCATGATGAACTCCAGTAAAAGAAGCACTGTAGCTCTTCAGAGCAGGTCACGCTGGTAAGAGAGACTGTTGGCGATTGTTCTCTGAACTTTATCATCGGACAGAATTTTATAGCCTACCATGCTAACACTAGCCTATTAAAGGGGGTCAGAAACTGCTAGTTTGATGAACTCTATTAAAGGAGCCCTGAAGAGAGGAAGACTTATTGAAGAAGACAGACGCTGGACGTCATAAATGTGTGTGATGCTGTCAAAAAGAAAGGAGAGTGACCCTCTTAGGCTTTATTAAAGAGATTCCTGGAAATGTGAATCCAATCAGGCCAAATTTAATCACTTTATCAGAGTTTATACCCCCCCCGCCTCTGCGCCGATGGCCGCTAGAGCGAAATACAAAAATCTCTTTGTTATCTTCACTGAAACGCTCTGAGTTTCAGTCTGTTAGACGCGGACGAGAACCAGACGGAGAACACAGGAGTGAGAAAGCTGGTTATTCACATGTACCGAGGAAATTAAAGTCCAGTTCTGCTCCATTAGTGCAGCTCTCAGGGAGAATTTGAGTGAATGTGGGCTTTTGTAGCTTAAACTGGGAGACGAATTGGACGGCAATAGACATACTTCGGTCAGAACAGGGGAGGACGACCTCCAGAGAAGCTTTAAAGGTAGCTATGACAGAATATTTGTGGGCGGAGCCTGTAGAGGGTAATTTAATCTATGTTTTCAATAACATGAGCCCAATATTGCGGCAGATAAAACTATAAAATCAGCTAAAATCCAAAAAGCTCGAGTCTGAGATGAGCCAATCAGAAAAGCGCAAGTCCAAGTCCAGTCACAAGCCAGGTCAGCACGAGTCGAGAGTCAGTTAAGTGCAAGTCTGAGTCGAGTGTCGGTAAGCACGAGTCCGAGCTGAGATTCAGTAAAGCACGAATCCGGGTCACAAGTGAGTCTTAGTCGAGTCAGGTAAGTCCAAGTTGAGTCACAAGTCAGCTAAGCACAAGTTGAGAGTCATTTAAGCTTGAGTCCGAGTCACGAGTCAATTAAGCACAAGTCGGAGTTGAGCCCCTGAGTCAGTACTGCGTGACTCAGATGTGAGTCTTGAGTCAGTAAAGCGTGAGTGAGAGATGAGTCATGAGTCAGTAAAGCACGAGTCCAAGTTGAGTCATGAGCTTGTAAAGCATGAGCCTGAGATGAGTCATGGATCAGTAAATTGTTAGTCAGAGTTGAGTCAAGTCAGTAAATAGTGACTCCATGATTAGTCAAGAGTCAGTAAAGCGTGTGTCCAAGATGAGTCATGAGTCAGTAGAGCATTAGTCCGAGCCGAGTCACAAGACAGTAATTCATGAGCCAGGATCAAGTCACTTGTTGTAAAACATGAGTCAGAGTCGAATCACAAATCATTTAAATGCGAATCTGAATCACAATTCAGTAAATCATGAGTCAGAGCTGAGTCACAAGGCAGAAAAGCATGAGCTTTTTTGAGTTCAGTCACTTGTAGAGAAACAAGCCAAGTCCGAGTCCGAGTCAAATCACGAGTCAGTTAAATGCGAGTCTAAATCACGAGTCGGTAAAGCTCCAATCACGGGTCAGTTAAATGCGAGTCCGAAACACGAGTCGGTAAAGCTTGAGTCCGTGTCGAGTCACGAGTCAGTTCAACATGTGACCAGAGTGTGAGTCGCTGATTAGACTTTTGCAAACTTTTACTATTTTATTTTTTCTGATTTTTTGTTAAAATATAAAGAAACTGTGCATAAAAATGAGCAGATTTTTTCAACATTTCTCCGCAGGTGTCGTTTGATTCTTTTTCGCTTCAAAAATCAACGAAATATGTAATTTGGTCAGGGAATGCCCAAACTTTGGCATGCAGCGTGGAGCCACGGTGACCGCCGAATCAGACGTGTGAGCTGAAAACGCTGAGTTAGCTTCCTCCCTCGTTATGACGCTCGATCTGCTTCACGTTAAAGTGGCTCAGTAAAAAAACAGCACGGCTTTAAACTGCTAACCGCAAACGCTCCGACTCAAACGCCCGACAGCTTTATTACACACAGCTTCGGCTAATTAAGACACGCTATTTCATCTTTAAACAATTAAGGATATTCCTTTCACTCAGAGAGAGAAAGAGAGAGAGACAGAGAGAGAGAGAGAAGGAGAGAGAGAGAGAGAGAGACTGACGCCGTGTTGCCGTTTGGAGAGCCAGCTGCTCGGGGGCGTTCGACAATAAACAAATACACATTCATAATTTCATTAATTAAAGCCATTAGCCGGAGGCTGTTGCTGTTCAGGCGACTCTGCTGCGCGAGCAGAACCACAGCTGGGAACAAAAAAAAGTGTTGCAGGAACAAAACAACCGTAACATGAACAGCATCTCTGGTTTGGCAGTGAAGCAGTAAAGATTAGAGTCACTGAGGAGGAAAACAAAGACATTTGAAACAGTTCACACACAGTCAAACCGCCATAAACGCTCAAAACGTTGTGTAAACATTGCATCACCTCTTTCTCGAGTGTCTTCACAACGGCGTCGTAAAACATTTCATACACGCGGCACAGAAACTGATCTACACTGCAGGCCAAAAGGTCAGGAACACATTTCTATTATAATTTATTATATATGGTTTACTTGCATTACATTGACATTATTATATGATATATAACGTCGTATGGAAATGTTTGAAAAACCTCCACGTTGCATGTTATTGTTGATTGTCTAAGTGAAAATAAGTTAACACATCATCTACAGAGACACACCTTTTACTGTACAATGCGTATTTATTTACTGAATTTAATACGGTGAAAAAAAAATAAATGCCATAACTTTTGCACGTTACATTTTATGTTTTAATTTTTGCCCCAATG